TGAGGTGAGGTGAGGGGCGCGGTCCCAAATCACACAGGTGAGCTAGGTATAGTAATTACCTCCTTCCAGACACGCCTAGGTGGGAGGGAGGATGGGAATAGGGGGAGGAAGGGGAGGAGAGGAGAGAGGAGGAAGGGGAGGAGTATATAGGAACACATAGGAACACATAGGAAGAACAAACAGCAACAGGCCTACTGGCCCTTACGAGGCTGTTTGTGATAGAGACTAAACTACACTATCTAATCTGGGATGAAGGATACAGGATAGTAGAAAAAAAAAAAAAAAAAAAAAAAGAGTGGAGTTAAATTATACTAGACTATCACTACTGTCACTACCACTACTTCCTGACAAGCGATGTCAGGCTCCTAGCGACGTCTTTCCGAATCGAGGAACTTGCTCAAAGTTTACTACGTTAACGAATAGTGTTTTAGTTGCGGATTGGCTTCTAAATATTTGTCCAGTCTATTTTTGAATGTATTAATTGTTTTACTGTCAACGACATTGGCGGGCAGGGCGTTCCAAATGTTAACGATCCGATTGAAAAAGAAATGTTTGGCTTCGTTTGATGTGAATCGTTTACCAGTAATCTTAAAAGTATGACGTCTTCTTGTTATATTTGAACGATCAAAAGTAATGTAATCTTCTGCATTGATATTATCAAATCCTTTAATTATTTTGAACATTTCAATTAAATCTCCTCGCATCCTTCGTTTTTCTAGGCTGAATAAGTTTAATTCTTTGAGTCTTTCTTCATAAGGTTTATTTTTCAGCCTTGGAATCATTTTTGTTATTCTACGCTGGACTCTTTCCAGTTTGTCAATGTCCTTTCTGTAATATGGGGACCAAAACTGTACGCAATACTCAAGATGAGGTCGTACTAGTGAATTATGCAGTTTTAATATGACTTTTTCTGATTTATTTTCGAAAGTACGCCCAATAAAGCCGACCAATCTGTTAGCAATTTTAACTACCTCTGAGCAATGCTGACTGGGTTTTAAATCGTTTGATATTGTGATTCCTAGATCTTTTTCCTTGTTCACTGCAG